CCTTCATTGGGTTGATTTCTAGGTATTTCAGTTTTGGATTCTATTATGAAAGGTGTTGTGTCCATAATTTCTCTCTCAGTGAGTTTGTTATTTGTGTACAGGAATGCTATTTGTTTTTTGAGTGTTGACTTTGTATCCAGTTATTCTACTTAATTTGATTACTAAATCTAGAAGTCTTTTGGTGGTATTTTGGGGGTCTTCTATGTATAGTTTCATGTTGTCCAAAAATAATGATAATTTAATTTTGTCCTTCTCTTTTGAAATAAAAATTCAGCTTAATTTTTATTTCTTTCTCTTCTTTGATTGCTTTGGCTAATGTTTCCAGAATTATACTGAATAAGAGTGACAGTGAACAGTTTGATCTTGTTCCTGATTTTTGAGTGAAAACTTTTAGATTTTTGTTCAGTTAGTGTGATGTTGGCTATTAGTTGGTCAAAGGTGGCTTTTATTAGATTGAGATAATGACCATCTATTCAAATTTTCTGCAAGGTTTTTTTTTTAAATTATGAATGGGTGTTGGACTTTTGTCATATGCTTTTTCTGCATCTATTGAGATCATCATGTGGTTTTTGTCCTTGCCTCTGTTGATATGGTGTATTGCATTTATTGATTTGCATATATTGAACCATCCCTATATCCCTGGGATGATTCCTATGTGGTTATGGAGTATAACCTTCTTGATGATTTGCTGCATTGTTTGCTGATATCTTATTGAGTATTTTTGCATCTGTGTTCCAGAGGGAGATTGGCTTGAAGCTTGAGGTTCAACACTAGGTTGTTCATTTGAGCTCACTCTATTTTTCTGATAGGGGAATTCACTGCTAGAAATTTCCCTCATAGAACTGCTTTTATTGTATCTCATAAGTTCTGGTTTGTTGTACTGGCATTATCATTTAATTGAAGGAGCTACCTAATTTGTTCTTTAGTTTTTGAATGGATTCTTCTCTGGTTTTGGTTTCATGAGTATGCTTGCTTTCAGGAATGACTTTGGGAGTATTGTTTGCTTTTCAATTTCATTAAAGAGTTTGACAAGTAGTGTCATTAGATCTTCTCTAAATTTCTTGTAGAATTCAGCAGTGAATCTGTCAGTGACTGGGCTACTTTATTGGTAGGCTTTTTTATTGGTAGGTTTTTAATTACCTCTTCAATTTCATTGACTGATACTGGCTTATTTAGAATTTGTATATTTTTTTTAATTTGGGTTGGGTAATTCATATGTATCTACAGATCTGGTCATTTCTTATGTGTTATTCATCTTATGAGACTATACTTTCTCAAAGCAGGTATTGATGCTCTTCTGAATTTCTGCAGGACCTCTTGTGATCTCACCCTGTTCATTACTAATTGTATGGATTTGAGTCTTTTCTTTCCTGTTTTTGGTAAGGCAGGCTAAGGGCTTGTCTATTTTATTTAATGTTTCAAAGAACCTACTCTTGATTCATTGAATCTTTGTATATGTTTTCTTGGTCTCCATTACATTAATTTCTACTCTGATCTTCATAACTTCCTTCTTCATACAAGCTTTGGGCTTCACTTGCTCTTCTTTTTCTAGAAGCTTGAGGTTCAACACTAGGTTGTTCATTTGAGCTCACTCTTTTTCTGATACGGGAATTCACTGCTAGAAATTTCCCTCATAGGACTGCTTTCATTGTATCTCATAAATTCTGGTTTGTTGTACTGGCATTATCATTTAATTGTAGGGGCTACATAATTTGTTCTTTAGTTTCATCTGTGACCAGTTTGACTGTTCAGGAGGATGTCATTAATATCCATGTGTTTATGAAGTTCTTGTGGTTTCTTTTAACACTGATTTCCAGTATCATTGCACTTTGGTCTGATGATATGCATGGGATAATTTCAGTTCCTTTGCATTTATTTAAGCATGTTCTATGATCTGTTTTGGAGAACAACCCATGTGCAGCTAAGAAGAATGTGTTTCTTGTGTTGTAGGGTAGAACACTCTGTAGATATCTAGTGGGTCTATTTGTTCAAAATTCATTTCAGTTCTAATATTTCATTGTTGATATTTTGTCTAGTTGATCTATTTGTGACAGTGGGGTATTGAGATCTCCCATTACAATTTTATTCATGCTTATTTGATTTTTTCATGTCTGCTAATATTTGTTTTATATAGTTGGCTGCACTGATATTTGCTACATATATATTTATGACTATTATGACTCTTTGTTTTGGATTGTGCCATTTGAAAGAATGCAGTGGCCTCCTTTGTCTCTCTAAATCAAATCAGTCTTGGCTTGAAATTCACTTTGTCTGCAATAAGGTAGTTACTCCTGCTTTCTTCCAGGTTTGTGTTACATGGAGCATTGTTTTCCATCCTTTGACTTTCAGTCTATGGGTTTCTTCTTCAATAAGATGTTTCTCATATGCAGCATATTATTGGATCTTGCTTCTTGATCCACTCTGCCAGTCTTTTTTTTTTTTGTAGTACCAGTGATTAAACTAAGGACAATGTGCTTGCCAGGCAGGTGCTTATGCCACTGAGATATATCTCCAGACCCTGGTGTATTTCTTTTGATTGGTGAATTGAGACCATTAATATTAACATTGCTGGTTATACCTGATATGTTTTGACTTAGCCTTGTCATGTTGTTGGTTCCTGTTTTCTCTTGCTGTTTCATTCTGTTAGGGTTCATGGAGTTGTGGAATTTTTCTTTCTTTCTTTTTTTAATCTTTTGAGACAGGGTTTTACAATGCCAGTTTTGGCTGCATTGTAAAAACAGTAGCCCTGGCTAGCTTTGAACTCACAGCGATCCCCCTGCCTCAGCCTCCCAAGTGCTGGAATTATAGATTTGTACTACCACACTCGGATCTTGTGTGGAATTTATAGAATCTTGACTATTATATGTCTTTCTATCTTCTTATTGGATTTTTTCCTTTTTTGTTGTGGCTAATTGGAGTTCTATAGTCCTCACTTATCTGTGTATCAAATTCTTTCTTTCCCTATTTGGAAAGTTCTCTGCCATTAGTTCTGTGAACAGAATTTTTCATGTTATATGCACTTCCTCTTGCTTTTTCATTGATTCTATTCACTCTTATGTTATTTTCCTTTGTGTCATCTGGCAGCTGCTGGATTGATTTCTCGTGGTTCCTTACTATTTTTAAAACATCCTTCTTTTCATGATTGCTAATCACAGTCCTGCTTCTAGATTTGATATTCTGTCTTCAGATTGGCTCATTCTGCTGTATATACTTTCAATGGAATTTTTAATCTCCTGGATATCTGTTTGAATCTGTTTCATGGATTCCTTTTCTTTCCTGTACTGGGGAGTATTCACGGTTTTCATCATTTTCCTAAGCTCCTCTGTTTTAAATCTGTATCTGCTGTATAATCACTAAGCATATCTCTCATTATGGTCACCATCTCTGCAGTTATAGGAGAGATTAACTCTGATTGGATTTTATTTTCTAGAGCCTTGTTTATTTGCTTTATAATTTCTTCCATTAGCACTTTAGAGTGTCCATGTTGGTGGCTTTCAAACTGTTCTACTTCACTGTCCCCTGAGTTTGCCCTTGGTGATCTGCAAGTTTGGGCTTGCATTTTGTTTAGGTATCTTCTCAGTCTTACTTTTTTTAGTTCAATTGATGCTTGTAAATTGCTTATAGCAAGTTGCTTTATTGCTAGTATGTAGAATGTTTCATAAATGACTAATTTTCAGATATGTTTTCCAAGTGTAGCTTATTTTGGGGTTTTAAGTGTATTGCAAGTTCCTGCTTCTTCCATTCATTGGGGATGAGAAATTGCTGCCTACTTGGCCCAGCCCCTTATTCTTTGGCACTGTGCTATAGTGTTATTTATGACTCTTAGGCAATCTCCATCCTGGTATATCAAGAAGGACAACTGATTAGGACAATTATGTCATGTCAGCTAAGACAGTACATTCAGCAATAACATTACCATCAAAAATAGCCTAGAAAATGACAAACTGTGATACCTATAATTTGCAACCTTCAACCATTGTTAGTGCAGCTATTATGGAAAACAGTATGAGCTTTCTCAAAAAATTAAAAAGATAACTGTTATTTGATTCAGTAAGGGAAAGAAAGTCAGTGTGTGATTATGGTACAGTTCATAATAGCCATATTAAAAACCATATTAAAGCCATAATAGTCATTTTCCCATAACATGGAAAAAAATTAAATGATTATGTGCTAATGAATGGATAAAGAAAATGTGGTTACATATATATCACAGAATACTATTTCATTTGTGAGATAGAACTGAATGAAATAAGTACATAAGTGCTACATGATCTCACTCATTTATGAATGTAAAAGTGTTGATTACAGATGTCTAGAATAGAATAGTGGTTACCAGAAGCAAGAGAGGGTAGGAGAGGTACAGGAATGGGAGCAGATTGGTCAAAAGTTACTAAAGTACAGTAAAATAGGAGAAGTTAGTTCAAGTGTTCTATTATAGAATAACAATGGATAATGAAAAGGTACTACATATTTTCAGAAGGCTATAAGAAAGGATTTTAATGTTTTTAACACAGAAAAATGATAAATGTTTGAGATATGTATGGTTATTTTGGTTTGAACATTATACATTGGTATCCCATGAATATACACAATTTCTGTGTTTGTTAAAAATAAATACATGCACATATATATGTATATATATTATATATATTGTTTTTAAATAAGTTTTCTTACTTGTGTAATGGAGAAGCTCATTGCTCTTACTCCCAGTACAGCCATAAAGATTAAATGAAATAATCATGTAACAATCTAGCACATGGCCAAACAGAATAAAATAAGTGCTTGATAAAGATAAGTCATTATTACTATTAATATGTGATTTTGTTCCAAAGGCAGAATTACAATAATGATAACAAAAATTTAGCATTAGCACAAATACAATTAAATTAGAATTATTCTGATTCATAAACCTGTGAAGCCTTTCATCAACCACCAGTTTTGAGCAATGGTGTTCCTCAACTGTCAGCTTACCCATTGGCCTCTCTTTGCCTTTATCCCAGATGGAGTGGCAGCTCTTCCTGCTCCTCAGAACCTCTCTGTACACTCAATCAACATGAAACATCTCTTGATATGGAGCCCAGTGGTCCTGCCTGAAGAAAAAGTGTACTATTCTGTTGAGTACCAGGGGTGAGTTTTGTTTTTGCTTTTAGACAGCAGTTGGTTCCTGCAGGCACAGCCCTTCCTCCTTAGCTCAGGGAGGCATTGTGAGCTGACGGACAGGTGATCTCTGATGATCTGCTCCCTCAGTGCATGGGCACTGGGAGAGTTGAAGAAACAAGGGAAATCATCTTATGGATGTGATAGTAAACTTTCTGGAAACACAAATACATATAAGAAAAAAACATGTTCAAGTACATTGTAACACAGCTTCTTTTCAAGACAGAACCAACTGTCCAAGGAGTTGATCCCGACTTGAGATGGATAAGTGACTGGAAATCCAGATCCTTGGTGGAAAGGGACAATGTCAGTCTTCCTGACTATGAGCTCATACTTAGAAGCCAAACAAATCTTGACTCTAGAGAAGCTGGCCTGGGGCCTACCGTTATCTATTCTTCTCTCTAGACAGCACCTGGGTCTAGTAGCAACCAGTTGCTTGCTACTGTTAAGTGGCGGTGACAGAGAAGGGGCTCAATATATTTCACTAGCAACAAATATAAACTGAGCTCTCTATGCAGACATTTTATTAGACATGGCTGTCTGGGTTTCTGGATATAAGAAATTTAACATCTAGAGGAGGAAACAGTAAATATAATAGGTCATATTCTCCAGTCAGTACCCCCTAGCAACAGGTAGTTATTTAAATTGAAATTAAGTTAAATTAGAACATTTATTCTCCTGTCACATGGACATGTGTAGGTGTTTCATAGCCACACGAGTGGTGGCTACCACACTGATCACCACCAATAGAGAACATTTCCATCATCATGGAAGGGGAAGACCTGTTCTAGGAAATTTCAGGTGGTGCCCAGTGCAGGCGGTACTTGTCCCATTTCCACAGAGCACAGGAACCATCTAAGTGAGCAGTATGGGCACAGCTAGTCAGGCAAAAAGACTAGTCTGAGGCAAAAAGAGATCAGTGTCAGTGTTTTGGAAGAGTGACCAGGAAGTGTACAAGAATATTTTTATTTCATTTTGTTTATTTATTTTTTAGTTTTTTGAAATAGGGTTTCACTATGTAGTTCAGGCTGACCTTGAATTCACTGTGCAGCACAGCCTGGCCTCAAATTGTGTGCTGGAATTATAGGCATGTGTCACCAGTGCTGGCTTAAGAATTTCAATGTTAGATGCTTGGGAGAGGGAAGGCTGGAATTTTGTAGGACATAGGGAGATGTTTGGAGTCTATCCTAAGTGCTTCAGGAGCCATTAAGGACAGAAATGTGACTGAGTGGGTGGCTTGGAGAGCAGAAATGTGGCAGCTGGGAAGCCACAGAAAGCCAAGGCATGGTGCAGGGGAGGGCAGTGATTGGATATGGAGAGGAATGGACAGATCAGGGTTTATGCTTAGCTTTTCTTGGCTGGATATAAAAGGAGTAAAGGAAATGGATGGCTGGCGAGGCAGGAGTGGAACAACTGGAGTAGAAAGCAAGGGCTCTTTCATGATAAGAAGTAGGAGAAAGAAGGCAAGTACAACCATCTTCGAGTCTGGGTCACAGAGACTGAAGTGACACTGTGCTCTCCTCTCCTTGGCCAGCGAGTATGAGAGCTTATACACAAGTGACATCTGGATCCCCAGCAAGTGGTGCTCACGCACTGAAGGTCCTGAGTGTGATGTCACCGATGACATCACTGCCACAGTGCCTTACAGCCTCCGTGTCAGGGCAATCTTGGGCTCACAGACTTCAGCCTGGAGCATCCTGGAGCAGCCCTTCAATCGAAACTCAAGTAAGATGCTTCTTCCTCCTCTGCCTGCACTTCCTTCCCTTCAGGAATCATGTTTACATAGAGTTCTAGATCTTGTTTTAGGATGAAAATAGTCTTGCAAAACCAGAATGTTGTGAACACAAACCACCTTTATTAGTATATCTCAGAGACTGCCCAAGACTTCCCCCATGCTCTTTCTTTCATGCCCTTGTTTGGAAGTCATTTCTAACTATCTCTGCAGGAGGTAGAGGTGCTGTCATTGGGGACCTGTAAGAAATGTTTCTCTGGAAAGGGGAAAGTGACTCCAAAACTGCTTCATCCTACCCTGATCATGCGTTCTTAAACCTTATATTGTCTTCTACCTGGTGCTCCATCACCCCACATTTATTCACTGTTTCAAAAGATCTATATATTTAAGGCTGTCAGAAACAGTTCCTATATAGGGTTACTTATAAATAATTTTTTATCGTAATAGTAAATGGAAAATCATTAAGAAGAGAAGAATCCAGAGATGGGGAGATGGCTTGGTGGTCCAAGTGCCTGTCTGGCAAGCATAAGGATCTGGGTTCAATCCCTGGTACCACATGGCATGCCAGGCCCGGAACTCTGTGTGTGCAGAGCTCGCCACTGAAACCGAGCATGGTGGTGCATGCCTGTAGTCCCAGCACTGGAGAGGTTGAGACAGGAGGATCACTATGAGCCCAAACTGTATAACAAGACCCTGTATTGAAAGAATAATAATACTAAGAAAGAATCCAGATAGATGGCCAGATATTGCTACAGGCAAGCAATGGGTAGTGTGAAGGATGTGTGTGCTTGGGAAACAGCAGAGGGAAAGGTTGCATGGGTAGAGGGCAGGGAAGCAGCTGGTCACATGGTAAAAGGCCTTGCCATGAACCTTGCTCAAGAAAGTAGAGGGCAGCCATGAGAAGGTCTAGCCCAGGTTTGTCATATAGAACAATCTGGCTGCTCTGTACAAAGTGACCTGGAGTGGGACAAGTCTGCAGTGCAGGAGAAAAGAGAGGGGAGGACAGGATGAGTTCAAGCAACCTGGCTGAGCTGCAGAAGACAGTGCATGGCAATCAGTCATTGGGGAAGGGGGTGGGCAGAGACAGCGATGGTGCTCAGCTTCCGACCAATGTTGATGAGAGAATTATCCAAGACAGGTAGCCCAGGAGCAGCAACTGCTCTTGAGAATGGGCAATGCCTCTGTCTTTGTGCAATTTGAGATTAAAGTTCCTGCAAGATACCAAGCTATGAGGATCTGATTGGCGGCAGAATATCAGATCCTGGGATTCATAGAGGTCAAAGCCAGATGACAATTCAGAGTTGGTAGCTATGAAGGCTTGGGAATGGATGAGATTATTCAGAGACAAGATGTGTGGGACAGAGACTTGAGGACATGGTCCTGGGAAAACTGAAGGCTTAAATGTAGTTGGAAGGGCAGCAGTGGGTGCCTGAGGAGGTACAGGGCCCCAGAGGGGAAAATAAATAGCTCCTGGGAGGCTAAAGGAGGCCACTGGGTGTGCCCTTGAGAAAGTGATTCCACAGAATTGAGGGGATGGCAGTGTGGTTATCAGGGTGGAGGACTCAGCAAGGTGGGAAGGAGAAATGCAACTCCTCCTCTGAGACAGGTGTGGGAGGGAATGCTACCAGCTTGGAGCTGTGGGAAGGGCAGAGGAGGAGACACCCAGTGGCTTCTCTTTGCTTAATGTGGCAGAATGTCCTCTGTTGAGGAAAGGACAGAGGAAGATTTAGGGCAGCACTTGCAGTAGTGGGGCAAGCCAAGATTATAGAAGAACATATAATATTGAATGGATATCAGGAGGGCTTAGGAGCCCCCGCCCCTCCAAGCTCGAAAAGGCAAAGGAAGGTGAAGATAGCTTTGAATGTAGTTCACACTCTCTGTCAGCCACTGGACAGGAGGATTGCTGGCTCCTCATCTCTAAGAGGGGTAGCGTTTTCTTCACTGGGTAGTTGTGGGGGCCACATGAGATGAAATGTGTAAATGCTTAGTGCAGTACCGCTCTATCACAGCACTCAGCCATTGGTGGTATTATTGCTTTCCTAAGATGCCATGATTTGAGAGCAGAGAAGGATTTGAGAGCAGAGAAGGAATCCCAGAGAAAGAATAGGACTGTCAGAATGAGGTGCTACTACGAAGTTTGGTGCAGAATTCCTCTGCCAGGCCTCCTGCCAAGACACTGAGAGGATTTGGTTGATGGGGCAGGATCACAGTATCAGGCACTGGGAGAGGCTAAGGGGTACTGGATGGCACTGTAACTCTGTCTCTGCTTACAGTGCATAGGCAGCACCCTGCGCCACTTTTCTCTGGCACCCAGTGCTGCAGCTAAGGCCACCTCTGGGGCTTAGGGCTGCTGTTGGAAAGACTTGGGACAGGCAGAGATAAGGGTGTCTATGAAGCCATGTGTGTGAGCTGTGCCATAAACCTTGCACTTAGGAAGGCAGTATAAACAGGAAAGAGCCTTACTATAGGAGGAATGGAGGAGTAGGGGCCTGCACCTACAACAGGAGGTGGAGGATGCAGTCCTTTGTGACCCCAGAGCAGTGGAGTTAGCAACCCAGCTGGGATGGCTTTGTGTTACCTTAAGGGCATTCAGCCTGTCCTTTCCCATTTGGAAAAAGCCACATCAGATTCTGAGGATTGCGAAAAATCTTGCTCGAAGGCTCTCCTGGAGAGGATTTGGTCTACACCTTATGGAGAGCCAAGATTTTTAATCTCCACTGCACTGCAGAGTCACAGAGGAACTTTAGAATCACTTTCCCAGGACCTTCCCCAGAGGATCTGATTTAAATTCTCCCCAGGTTATTGTCAATGGACAGCCAGAGTTGAACAGCAGGTTATCCCCCTCTCCCTGCCCCGGGGCAGGTTGGAAACGCAGAAAACCTGGGCTTAAAATTTGGCCATTAATTGTGTGGTTCTGGGCAAGTTTTTAATCTCTGAGTACATCAGAAATAATATTTACCTTCTTAAGTTTCATGAGTGGATTAAGTGAGACAGCCATGCAGAAAGGGAGAGAAGGAGGGAGGGAAGGAAAGAGAGAGAAACAGAGAGAGAGAGAGACAGAGACAGGGACCCAATTTTAATCATGAGTGACTTAAAAGTGAAAAAGTCAAATATCTCTTTTCCTCTGGGGGGCTTCACGGGCTGGGCTAGTGGTGCTGTGCCTACCTGGCTGCTTGCACCGCTGGCCCGACTTCCCAAGTCCTCCCCGCTCCTACCTGGGTAGCTCTCTGATGCCTGGTGCACACCGGTTCTCATGAGGTAGGTGAGGGAAATCCTGTGCTCTCTCAAAGCCCCCTCCAGGAACTGCCTTTCTTCTGAGTGTTCCCTGACCCGAGGAGATGCCCCTTCCTACTTCTTGAGCCAAGACCAACAATTTGGGTGGTCCTTTGGGTCCTTTGGTACCTGGCTCTGCAAGGCAAGTGTGGACTCACCATCAGTAGCCAGAGAGTAGAAGCTGCCTATGTGGCCCTTTCTGTTCTTGGCCAGCCAATAGGAAAGGTATCTACAGAGGCTGCTGAGCTCTCTTTGGGACTTAACAGTATGAAAGATGGTGTTGGTGCTCAGGCTGTAATTTCTAGAATTGATTGTTGGGATTTGTAAAAAGCTGACTTCCAACATCTCTGTTATGATGTGATATGAAGAATCTTTGGTCAGGAATAGAATGCTCAACCCATCCACAGGCTTCTGATTTGCTGATGTCTGAAAGTCTTCAGGTTCCAATATGTGCCATGGATCTATGCGAGCTGCAGGGAGGCATGTGCCCCCACCAGGTATGTTATTCTGAGAAGTCAAGGCTGTGCTCAGCTGTGCTCAGCATAGTCACGACCTCAGGCATGCGTTTGGTAAAGGAAGAACAATTTTTGCTAAAAAGAGTGATGGGGAAAGGAGCACAGAGCACATAATTTTAAAAAGAAAAAAAACATAATGTATACTTGAGTATTTAATTTCTTTTCTTTAGTATGTGTTTGCAAAGAGAAGCAAAAGACTTTAATATAGATAAGGGATCACAAAAGGATTTGGGATTTGTCATTCATTCACTGATTCCAAAAACGTTTATAAGCACCTCCTGAGTACAGGAGAGTACTTGTGTTCTGAAAACATACAGCAAGTGTCCTATTTCCCCCAGGGGTGCTGTCATCTTTCCACCAGTGATGTGGACATCATGTCTCAGGGAAATCAGTCCTGTGGGCTAGCCTTGATTCTTCCCTTGTTTCACCAACAGCCATCCTTACCCCACCTGGGATGGAGATCTCCAAGGATGGGTTCCATCTGGTTATTGAGCTGGAAGACCTGGGACCCCAGTTTCAGTTCCTAGTGGCCTATTGGAGGAGGGAGCCGGATACCAAGGTGAGGCTTCCAACCTTGACTCATGAGTCAGGCTTCGAGGAAGGAGGCAGTTTTTTGTGGGCAGGTGAGGAGATGTGGCCTTTGCAGTGCTTGGTGTCTGGGTGGTTTGAGGATGAACATCTTGGGTAGTAAAGCTTGTGAACAGAGAGATGACAGCATGCCACCCATCCACTAGCTTCTGCAGAGAACTGCTTTGGTCCATCTTAGGCTTTTGGTGGGGGTCTTTTCAGGGCTCTTCAGGAGGCAAGGGGGACTGCCTCCTTGCTCTAAACTCTTAACCTAGTTGGGCCCATAACATCTTTAAAAATGTGTTCTTTTCCTTTCCCATTCCCTTGTTAGCTGGTCTCCTCAGTCACTTAGGGGCAGCGGGCCAGGGCATTCCAGATCAACCGGATGGATGATTTCAAAAGCACATGAGGCTGGTACAGACCTCTCACGGGTGTGTATCTTGGCAGGGTGTAGAAGGAACAGTGAGCCAGCCAGGAGCTGGCTGATGAATAAGACCATCTAATTACAAGCAGGTGGGCCATCCAAATTGCCAAGAAGTGAGCTGCCCTTCTCTGTGGGAAGGTGGTTGTAATCTGGGGCCCTCATAAGTGGACAGTGAGATAAGCAGCAGAGAAGGGGTATCGCTTGATCAGGAACCAAGAGACATTCCGGCCTGTGGAGTCCTGCCCAAGCTGATACGGTGACAATGCCTATGCTAGCCAGCACACAGAATCTTGCTTTGTGGTAAGAATCAATGTGTTGCAGCACAGTGTGTCCCTGTGATCCGTGAGCAGCTAGGCTTTAGCCAGGCGGCAGCATAGCCTTATCTACATAGAAGGGCTTGCCTCCTTCTGGCAAGACTCTCCTGGGACCCTCTCCTCAGCTCACTCCTAGGCCCTGGTCCCTCATCATGCCTTCCTGCATATTCCTGTAACTTGGTCTCAGCTCCTTACCATGTCCTCTCCTCTTTATCCCTAATTCCTGTTCTAGGTATTCACTTTCACAAGACTCAATTCTTTGGTAAGGAATCCATTGTCCATACTCCTCTTATCAACCTGAACCTTAGGGACAGCAGGTATCCAGCTGCATTGATTGGGCCCTTCTCATGCTGGGTGGATCCTGATTCTAAGGAGTGTACATGTTCCTCCATTCATTTGATGGGGGCTGTAGGTTGGATAGTATTCCCTGGAAGGTAGGGTGAGCAGGTGGGGCAGGCAAAAACACAAGATTCCAGTATTTACCACTTTTGGGTTAGGGCCCACTGGTAGGACATGACATTGCCAACCAGGCAGATGGAATGGTGTGGGAGCTAGGCCAGGGCCTAGTGGGAGGGAGGATACAGCTTCCTCAGATTCCTTGGGATGGAGCCCACTCCCCACCCTTGTACTTGGCAGGGCTGGTGCTGAGAGAGGAGCGTGCACACTGAGTCATCTGGGCTTGGCTCTGACAAGCCTCTGCAGGCTCAGATGCAGAGCGCAGATCTTGGGGAGAGAAGTGGAGGTGGGAGTGTAGACATACAGATAGACAAACTGGTTGACAGATGGATGAGGTGGGAGCGGGGCTCTGCAGGCTCCTCTGCTCTTGTATATGGAATCCCTAGCAGCCTTGGCCATGCCAGGCCTTGGCTCAGTCAGAGATCCAACCTGCAAATCTCTGCCCAAGTGTACTGTTGGTGAAACTTTCCCTCTCTGTCAAATGCTGTGCCTTCTCATCCTCTCCCTTCTCTTCACCTTCTCCCTCAGAGCCTTCTGACCCTCTCACATGTATTTCTATGTTACTTATGCATTGTTAGTCCCCTGTGTCATGTAAGCTCCACAAGAAGAGGAATGTGTCTATTTTGTTCAGTGTTGTGTCCTTGTTCTTAGAACACTGCCTGTTGCCTTAATAAAGATGAATAAATGAATCAGTAAATGAATGAATACATGAGAGGGAAAGAAAACTGTCTGCAATTGTCCCTCTCTACCTCTCTATCTTTTCAGTCCTGCTGCCCTCAGGGAATAACTGTTTTCTGGTCTCCCAAAGGAACATGCCAAAGTGGTGAGGAGAGGGGGCATTCCTGTGCACCTCGAAACCATGGAGCCAGGGGCCCTGTACTGCGTAAAGGCCCAGGCACTGGTGAAGGCCATCGGGAGGAACAGTGCCTTCAGCCAGACAAAGTGTGTGGAAGTGCAAGGTAAGGGTGGCCTGCTTGTCTCCTGGCCTCAGACACAGGGTTTCCCCTTGGTGCGTGCTTGGGTGCCTACCAGGTGATTTGATTTGCCTTATTTCCCCAGGCTGGATGGGTTCTCACAGTGACAGTGTGCCAGGCAGTCTGACCACTTGGGAGGCAGAGGTCTACCTGGGGTTGGGTTGAGTTCCAAGAGCAACTGTTTGGAATACTTACACCAAGCCTCCTCCACTGGTGTCAGATGTTACTTCCTGGGGCCAGAGCGGTCTGAAGGAAAGGTGGCTAGGGGCTCCAGAGCCAGGACTTCTAAAAGACCCCATATTATGATATCAGTTTCTTTGATCTGAAAGAGATCTTATAGAGGGTCTAATAGAGTAATCTTGCTTGACTTATTTTTTCCCTTGAATTTTTTTATTCTTTAAAAATCTACATCATCTAAAAGCTTTTGAAAAGAAACCAAGTCAAACAAAGCAATACACCCTTTAATTCTACTATTCAAACATAACTGGTTACATTTTTTTGTATGATCACTTAATTTTTTAAAAAGTTAATTAGTATTTTGAATATATAATACATTGTATGGTTTGGAAATATAAGATGCACATGAGAATTCTCTTTTTTCACTCTTCTCCCCATCTGTGTAATTCCTATATGCTCTCCAATAGGTGTGAGCTTCTTATATATCTGTCTGAAGACTTTTTTTAATGTGTATACAAGTAAATGAGAATGTGTTTAATATGTTACCCTCTTCTAACATAAATGATAGCTAACTCTATATGGCTTTTTCTGGGTCTTGTCTTTTTTATACTTTTTATAGCTCTTAGATTTTTCTATATCAATAAGAGAACTCCTTAATCCTTCTTTTTGCTGATACTATTCCATTGTGTATGTATATTATGATCAATATAACTCATCCCCTGTTGGTGGGAGTTATACATTTTCCAAATACTTTGTCATTACAGCCAATGCATTAATTAATTCCCTTGTACAAAGATCATTTTGCTAGTGCATATATGTATTTGAAGGATAAATTTCTGGAGGTGGAGTAGCTTGGTCAGAAGTTTTTGCATTTCATTTTGATCACTGTTTCTGGATTGCCCTCCAAAAGAATATAATCCTTTAGCAATGGCTTTTGTGCAGGCATGTGCTATAGTCCTAAAGCACACAAGCTTTGTTCCTACATTTTCACAAATATCATAACCATAACATTTTCCATGTGGATTTACTGACACTATTTTCATAATACTTTTTAAAATTACATCAAACTTGTTTAAAAACTTAAATGATACAAAAGTATTAAAAAAGTAAGAGCTAAATATTTTCCTTTCTTTCTTAACAGTACACAGGAGGTTTCTTTTGGCAAGTTTGGCATTTAACTATCCAGCCATTGTCTGTCTCTTTTGTAAAAGCAGGGTACCGCACTAGTTGTGGAATAGGGTCCCTAGTACAGAACTGGGAGGAGGCAGTAGCTCTAGTGGCTCAGATAGGGGCTTGATATAGCATAGTTGTTATGCAGCTGTTTTCTGGACTCAGTATTTTCCTTTGTAGTATGAATCAGTACCAAGACAGGCTGTAAAGTGCTTTGTTTTCAGTTACTCCCAGCTGAGTTCTGTGCCATTCTGCTGTGGCACCCCCTCATCCTGCCCGGCTCTTGGCCTCTGCCTTCCTCTGGCAGCAGGGCTAGGTATGTGCTCACAAGGCTGGTGCCTTCACATACCATACTCCTCCCTTCTCCTTCCCAAGAAAAAAAACTTTAATCTTCCCTGGGGCTTTCTAGAAACCATGCCTTAATCTAGAGCCCGAGAAAATGGTGGTAATTTTGGTCACCAGAGCACATATCACATCTCAGGATGCTGGGATCTGTTGTCCTGGCTAAGATTCAGAGCCAACTCCGGGGAATCAAACGAGGCCACAGAGAGTGGTTCCCCTTTCACAGCAATTCCTAAGCTTGTTCTTGCTGTTTTGTCTCCAGGAGAGGCTCTTCCTCTGGTGCTGGCCCTATTCGCCTTCGTTGGCTTCATGCTGATCCTCGTGGTTGTGCCATTGTCCATTTGGAAGATGGGCCAGCTGCTCCAGTACTCCTGTTGCCCCATGGTAGTTCTCCCAGACACCTTGGTAATAGCATGTTTCTTTCCTTTTAGTATAATGCTGACCAGATATAGCTGGGTTTATGGCAATTTGCAGACATGAGAGAAGAATACTTGTAGAGCTTTTGTCTTAGCCCATTTGTGCTGCGGGAACAGAGTACCATAAACAGTAACAGTGCATGTGGTCCACTGGTCTAGAGGCTGGGAAGTCTGAGATTGAAGGGCCACATCTGTCAAGGACTTTCTTGCTATGTCGTAACAGAGCAGATGTCATCTCATGGGTGAGAGCATGATCAAACTTGCAGTAAGGCCTTAGAAGAATTACTCTGTATTCATTCATGCATGAAGGCAGGGCTCTCATACCCTAATCACCTCTCCACAGTCCCATATCAACATAGTTGCATTAATGATTCAGTTTCTAGCACCTGTTTCTAGGGAAACACATTCAAACTACAGCAACTTCTAATGAGAGAAGTTAGGAGAGATCTCCTTTTACCAGGGCATAGTGACCTCTGTGGGGCTTCTGGAAGGCCACCTCTGGTTCTTCCCATGACCTGGAATGATCAAGAGATCAGGTATGTTGCTAGCCCAAGATCCTTACCATTTCAAGAGTCACGTACAGTGCCCTTATGAGCATTCTTTGCGCCATCCCATAATTGTAACAGCAGGACCATCTAACAGCATATTCTGACAGCACATATTCAGTTTGCATACCAAGAACTGCGTGGTTGTCAGGGCAGAGAACATGTGTGTGAAGGTGGGAAGCAAGGAATATGTTTTAGCTTTGGTAGGAGTAGGTTGTGGTACGGAGGCGGCAATACAGGCCTTCATAGTGACTACTTAAGATTACGGTTATACTCCAGGTTCTTCACCAGGCCAGGGTTTTGTTTTGTTTTGTTTTTATAGTTCTGGCAACTGAACCTAAGACTTTCATACTGAGCTATATTTCCAGCCTTTCTTCTTCTTCTTCTTCTTCTTCTTTTTTTTTTTTTTTTTTTTTTTTTTGTGGTACTGGGGGTTGAACTCAGGACCCTGCACTTGCCAGGCAAGCACTTATTTTACTGGGTTTTCTCTCCAGCCCCTTTCTTCTATTTTTATTTAGAGACAGGGTCTTTTTAAGCTGCCCAGACTGTGGACTTGAATTTGCAATCTTCTTGTCTCAGCAGTTTCTCCCCCTTGGGAGGCTAGTAGTTAGCTTCAGTCAGAACTGCAGCTGTGTACTCCTGGAGTTCCTTATTATCATCCTGCAGTTATTGGAAAGTTATTTTAATGGCATTTTCATCATTTTACTTTCTTTTGATATATCGAAACCCCTGTGGAAGGTTCAGGTCTCCCACCAGCAATAGGGCACACAGATGCAGAATAAAGACAAAGAGAGAAAGTTCTGTAGTTGAGGAGCTCTGGGATGGCCAATGTTCTCTGCAAAACCAAAGACCAGGAGTCCAAAAGCGTATGTCTTTATTGGTATCAATCAGCGCAGTGGGTAGGATAGCAGCAGAGTGCTAGGGCAAAGAAAATTTGCAGGTTTGAGCTGTGAGGAGAAACAGCAATTGTGTACTGGGTATAAAGGCCTCCAGTGAACAGTGTAACTCGATAGTTTGATATATGCAGGGCTGGCAAGAAGGTATAATTCTTTCTGAGTCCCGTGGCCGTAGCTGAGATGCTATGTCATGTCTTAGCCCTGAAATATCAGAGACTCCTGCTCAAGAGCCTCCATGCAAGGGTCAGCATGGAGGCTACTCTCACCTACCCACGGTGGCTTTGCTATTAATGAGACCACTAGGCCTGACTCCATCACATTCTTGTGGACAATTAGGGGTACAGTTTGTTTCAACATAGCCAGCTCTGCCCATCTCATGAGTGGGTTAAGGAGAGGTTAGGGAAAGATGGAGACAAGGGGCTTCATTCCTCAGGAGAATGCAGCCTGGCAGGCTCCCACCTCTCCACACAGAAGAGCCCTTCTTCCCACTGTCCAGGCCTCAGGATACTCACCCAGCCTGTTCACCTAATGCTGATCTTCTTTTCTCTCGAGTTCTCCAGGTAGTTGGAACTTTAAGTGACTCTAGTCCACAACTAGGTACCAGGATTGCTCTAAGGATTTGCACACTGACTAGTGGTCAAAGCATATGGCAAATGTTTAAATTAAAAAAAATATTATAATAAAAGACCTGTTGCCACTAATTATCCTCAAAATACTCAAAATATCTTTGCTTACACTGAACACATTTATCTGACTGTTCTTGGCCATGTGTCTTTTACTGTAATGAGGTTTTTAAAAATCACCATATTTTCCTATTCCTTCTTAAAACTCTTTTTTTCTATTACTTCCTGTACATTGACCCATGTCACTCCCCTTCTGATTTTTTTTTTTGTATAGTAGCTCTACTAATTATTAAAGGAGGATGTCAAAATCCCAACTACATGTATGGGTGTGTCTGTGTTTCTTCTTTCATATCAATTTTGCCTTCATGTACTCTGAGGCTGTTTTGTTTACTACTTATTTGTCTTCCTGAGTAACTCCTGTAGTATTGTAATATGTTGTTCTTTATCTCTAGTAATAGTCCTTATAAATATAGCCCTTTATATTTACTGTTTTATGGTATAACATTTTAAAATATATGTTTACTTTAAATCGTTTATACCCCATAGTAACAGCAAATGGTGTACTTTTCTATTTTAAAATTTTTTGATAAAAAACAATTCTGATAATCTCTGCCCCTTTAATTTGTATGCTTAGTTCCTTAATATTTACTATAATGATTAATATGGCTGGATATAAGTCCATAATTTTATTTTTTGTTTCATTTGTTTCATGATTTTTATTTTTTGTCTTTTTGGGTTAAATGTAGATCATTGGAATTTCTCTGTACCCATTGACTTTTTGGTTATTTTTATATTATTTTTCATAATCTGTATGAAAATTATAATATGCATATTATTAAGGAGATTTTTCAGTCATAGAACCAAAATTCTATCATCTATGTGAAATGTAAGGGCACGTAGTTTTTTCCTTTTTTTTTTTAATTTTTTTTATTTATTTGAGAGAGAGAGAGAGAGAGAGAGAGAGAGAGAGAGAGTGGTGTGTGTGTGTGGCCAGCTCAGCCCAC